CTGTATGTATATATATAGTCACTATATCTAGCATAAACATCTTACCGCAAATCACAATATCAAATCTACATCTAAAAGGTTCTTGAGTGGACATGGTTGCTTCTAGGATTGCTGAAAGGCCCCGGAGAACCCCCAGTCCACAGCCTCATTAGAACACATAGATCAATCGTGGCAGTAGCAGTTGCCCAGTGTGTTGGCATGTTCGACGACCCAACAACTTGGTTTTAGACTGCTGAACATACAGATAAGGTTTCTTTTACAGGTGTCGATGAACTGAGATTCATCGAGTTACTCGGTCTGCAAACGTTGCTCTTTCCGTTGCAACCTTTGCGAAGCAAGCAGGTTCCTAGCTTCACTCAATAATTGATGAACAAATTGTGTAATTACATGAGCAAAACACACACCGGTCCCTACCTTACCTGATGGAGGTACAAGACGGACTATGAAGGCTTCTTCATTTCCAACCTGCGCAGTGCTTTGCAGGCCAGACCTGAGAACAGCAAATGGAGCTCCGCGCTCTCTTTGTTTGCGAAGACCGGGTGAGCCAAGCCCTGGAGAGCTTGAGAAGATGGTCCGATTGCTCCTGCAGAGCAATTCTTTTTCTGTCTGTTTTGTTTGAAGAGAAGCCTTTCCAGAGAAGATGGACCAGCAAGATGATGCTAAAATTTGAAGAATGACTTCCGCCACGCATCCGGTTTTGTGGAGACCGGAAAACAAACAACCCCCCCGTTGGATCGTGGTAGGCTGACTCCGCTCTTGACTCAGGCCACCGTAGCAGAATTCAAAGCCACGGAACTGTACACCAAGAGACCACAGGCTGAGATATGCTGTCGACCTTTTGGCTGAAACAATGGAGTGTCATAGACAAAAGATATGTCAGCGACATTAATCTACACAGCAGTCACATGTACTCACGATATTGCGGCCATGTGACAGAGTAATGCAAAGACTTCAATGCAGGCGTATTTTTGGACAGCAAGCAAACTCGCCAACAGGTAGCAGAGAGCCTGGAGAAGACCTGCAGGAAGGCACTTGTTGTACGATATTGGAGGTATGCTTAGATGAACTTGAAGGCTATTTGGATTCCACCCAAGAAGCGATGTCAGGTGTGCCAAGAGAACCTCCAAGGCTTCCTCACCTGCTGGGGTATCCAGCTTCTAACGGTGAGCCTTGATCCAAGGCGCGAAACGAAACGAAACTCTGACCAGGCACGGCATGAGCTAACATGGCATGATGACATGGTGTGCCAGGATCGAATCAGCCAATGTGCAACAACAGGCACGTGGTAGACATGCCGGGGGGGAGAGATCTTCCAGTTCTGCTTTTTTGCATCCCATGCGCGTGTTTGACATTGTTGCGCTGTATATATTATATTATATATGCCTTGCTTTGGTCTTTGACGACACAAGTCCTTAATCGGCGCCAACACATAAATGTCATTACATGAGAAGTATGCAAGAAAAGGACCATCAAGGTTTTGCAAGCCATAAAGTGGAGTGAAGGTCGCAGACCTTTGCTTCCCAGGTAAGGCCTGTAGCAACGATCCACACCAGCCACACCATGCATACTATTGAAGTATACAAAGAAGGTAACAACTATGAACAGCCCACCGCACATGCTTCGACCACATCAGCTGCATTGAGCCACCAAGTGGAGAAAAGGGTTAGAACACGAAGAAGAGGTTTAAGATCGAAAACAGCTGGGCGTTTCTTGACTCCCATGTTTACACTTCAAGTCCTCTTTGGTGCCTTTACACGGTCTTCCACTTAACATTCAGATCCTAGAAGCTTCTGCTTCAATGTTTTGGATTTCTTTTGGAGGTGGAGATGCAGAAGCAGGCCACTGAGTCCATGAAGCAGAAGGCCAGACTGGTTGAAGAATGTGTTATATTGAATCCGAGCTACAGACCATGGCCTCCACCCCATTAGCGATGGCCTCCAACTTAATAGCGATCCTTCAGAATTTGATAAAGCAGACAGGCAGCCTTGATCCGTGCAAAGACCACGGTCCTGGAGGCTGACTTTGACAGGCAATCGAACGTGAAATGGAAACCACGAAAGGTGACGTGCTGTGACGCCCTCCGCGATGTGTCTCATACGGTTTTGGCTCTCCCATCACATTGGCTTGTTCTAGGTTGGAGGCCATCGTTATTTAGGTTGGAGGCAATCGCTAGTAGGTTGGAGGCCATTGCCATTAGGTTGGAGGCCAAGGCTAGTAGGTTGCAGGCCATTGCCATTAGGTTGGAGTCCATTGCTATTAGGTTGGAGGCCATGGCTACTTAGGTTGGAGGCCATCGCAAGTAGGTTGGTGGCCATTGCTATTATGTTGGAGTCCATTGCTATTAGGTTGGTGGCCATCGCTACTGGGTTGGTGGCCATCGCTACTGGGTTGGAGGCCATCGCTATTAGGTTGGAGGCCATCGCTAGTATTATGGTTGGAGGCCATTGCTATTACGTTGGAGGCCCTCGCTATTAGGTTGGAGGCCATCGCTATTAGGTTGGAGGCCATTGCTACTAGGGGAGGCCATGGCTAGTAGGTTGGAGGCCATGGCTAGTAGGTTGGAGGCCATGGCTAGTAGGTTGGAGGCCATGGCTACTAAGTTGGAGGCCATCGCTATTTAGGTTGGAGACCATCGCAAGTAGGTTGGAGGCCATTGCTTTTAGGTTGGATGCCATGGCTATTTAGGTTGGAGGCCATCGTAAGTAGGTTGGTGGCCATTGCTATTAAAAGGTTACCGGTTGGTGGCCATCGCTATTAGGGTGGAGGCCATTGCTATCAGGTTGGAGGCCATCGCTGTTAGGTATTAGGCCGTCCCTAGTAGGTTGGAGGCCATCGCTATTAGGTTGGAGGCCATCGCAAGTAGGTTGGTGGCCATTGCTATTAGGTTGGAGTCCATTGCTATTAGGTTGGAGGCCATCACTAGTAGGTTGGAGGCCATCGCTACTAGTTCGATGGTTGGACGGTTGTTGGCAGGCAGGTGAAGCTGGTGAATGTGGAGGCGGATGCCGCCGCTGTGAACATCACCAGGAAGGCCCAGGGAGCCTGCAGTGGTGGGTGCAACATGTGTCAGTTTAGAGACAGAGGTTGAAGGATGAGGAAGGATGAGCAACAGCTACATAAACACCTTGGACAGTGACTAGATGTGACTAGTCTGACCAGTGTTTATCTTTTCGCAGAATAGTGTTCTTGCTTCTTCGCGCAGGCAAAGGCGGATGCCGAGTACAACTTGCAGCAGGCATGGGACAGTTTAGAAATGCCCCAAGAACTTCTGTAGCAAGTCTTCACGAACAACGCTGGAGGCTCCCAAATTCTGACTGGTTACACTCAACACTCCCAAGGCTGTTTGACGGAGGAACAAAAGAAGACCCACTCAAACCACAACACTCTTCTGTCGTTTGGCCACCATCCAAAAACACTCTTGCCCGTTGCACTTTGCAGCCAGCACCTTGCAGGCCCGCGCAGACGTTTTGACGACCATCCAGAACACTGTGAAGTGCTCTCCTGAACAGTTTGTTCGGCGAAAAGAAAGAAGTAAGAAAGGAAGGAACGAAGGTCTAAGGTCTAGAGAAGAAAGGCCGCGACACCACCAAACATGACTTTGCTTGTTTGTGTGTTTGGTTGGTTGTTTGTTTGTTTGTTTGGTTGGTTGGTTGGTTGTTTGGTTGGTTGGTTGTGTTGGTGTTGGTGTTGGTGTTGGTGTTGGTGTTGGTGTTGGTGTTGGTGTTG